CAGGGCTGGGAGGGGTTCGTCCCTACATGCCCGTGAAACGCCGCAGCAGTCCGGAGCGCTGTGCAAAGTACAGCGCCGGTCGGGGAAGGGTAATTGTGCTTGTCCAAGACGGAGCACAATCGGCCTCCTAGCTGCAGAGTGATAGCACACGCTGTACTGATACACTGTGTGTTATCACCTGCTTAAAGAACATATAAACTTCAAAAAGCAACCATGTAAGGCCTGCATGCTTGGGGTTTTCTCTCCCTTTTTGTTTTTTTTCCCCACTTTCCTGACTGATTCTGGCCGTGCCGCTCCCTGCCCTCATACAAGGCTGTGACATGCTGCTGACTCATTTGATGGCTGAGCCATGATGTTCATAGTAAATGATGTCATGATTGAAGATGAGGTGGTCTACCCAAGACCAGGAAGTATTTCAAATATGAACCCAAATTTAACAAGTCTGCTCAGCGAAGCACTTTGATTTGCAGTGTAGATGTAACACAGCTTAACCAACTAATACTGCACAAGCTTATGCGTGTGTGTGTATATATATATATATATATATGTGTGTGTGTGTGTGTGTGTGTAAATTTATATATATATATATTTACAGCATTGAGGCTGTCGCAGCACAAGCCGTCGAAGTCTGTCAGAGGAAACAAATCCATGAAAACATAATCGATAAAGTTTAATTTAATTATATGACCATACCCACGCTCCACTAAAATTGGAGTAGTGATTTCCAATGATAGTCTTTCAAGGGTTTTAGCGTGATGTCTTTACTAAACCATGGCGCTCTGGTCTTCTGGCCTATCTACAAGCGACTTAACGGCTCTTTCCCCTAAATCCTCTAGTTTCATTAGATGGGATTTCATTAGATTTCATTTCACTGGAAAACAGGAAAAAAGCAAAGATGAAGGGGAGGTAAAGTGGGAGATGAGCCTAAACGTCCATTGCTTTCAACCGCTAGGCAACATCGCCTCCTATTTTAAAATATCTCAGAAACCAGAAATCCGATTCCCTGTACTGTATCTTATGGCTGAGCAGCCACCACCTTTTCCTCAAATTATTGAGCCAGGCACCAAGAAAGATTTGAGTAAAAACCGAGTTAAGAGCGCCAGACTCTAGCCGACTGATTTTACTTAAAAAGCAAAAACGGCAGCGGGTGGAAGAGGTGCCAGCGCGGCGGCAGCCTGGGGCTCCGTAGGCGGCTCCGTTGCATCGGCATGAGGCGGCCCAGCGCAGGGAGCAAACAGGACAGAAACACGGAGCAGAGCTTTTTTCCAAGGGCTTTTCTTGGATCGTCCTATACTTCATATTGTAATAGATGCTAATTGCTTATTGACTTTGGCCCAGGTTGTGGCTACTTAGTAACACATCCGGATTAGCTGATTGCCTACAACATTTTAGTTTCAGCCCCGCTCCACTCCCGCACCTGGTAATGCACACTCCTTCAAGTAACATTTTGTGCCCAGGCTGCACTGAAAGTTGAACCTCAACCATTTTTTCGGTAACACGTGAAGACAAATTAAACAGGAAGAAGGCAGACGCGGTATCCAGATCTTCATCTTTAATATGTTCTGAAGGCATTTTCTCAAAATTTCCAATAAAGGTCATTTTCCCATAGGCTTAGCAAAGAAGATCTTCCTCCCAACGAGGTGTCGTGCAGCGACCCATCCTGCAGTTCCTCACCGTGGTTTTGCCCCACTTCGCCCCTACCTCCTGCTGGCGCCCTACAGGCACCCAAGCAGGCAGCATCTGGGTGCCCCCAGCTAGCGCGGTGCCAAACGTGGCACCTTCCACGCCTGGCTCGGGGGACGTCCAGGGTGCATCCGGACCCCAAAACCCTGTGGGACAGAGACCGTCTCGCACCGTTTGCTTTCGCAAGCCAGCGGAGAGGGAGAGCGGTGCGGCCGGGGGCTCTCGCTGCGTGGGAACGCAGCCGTCAGCGGGATTTTGTGGAGCTGGCCACAACGGCCAATACTGCAGCTTCTGGTCTCTGCACGAGTCACAGGGCTTTTAAACAGAATTTGGCCTTTTGTGTTCGATTGCCTTCAAGATTATTGGGGGAACAAAGACTGCTTTATGGGAACGGGATGAAACAAGGCAAAAGGGTTTCTGCTCCAAGGAACAGATCCTGTTTCCTTCCTTCCTCCCCGGTTGGGCCCGCGGGGCCGGGGAGGGGGGGCCCCGGGGGCACGCAGGCGGCAGGACCACGACTGTGACCGCTGCACGGCTCTGCGCTCCCACCGCTCCCCCGGCATCAGCGCCCTGTCCTCTGCAGCTGTGACGGAGCCCCCAAGCGCCATCACCATCAGGGACCGGGTGGTTCTTGGGGTCATGTTTGGCCTGAAAAACTGGATTGTCTTTGAAATGAAGTTGGAAGACATTTCAGTGCAAGTGAACGTGTTTCAAGTTTCATCAGGAGATGGAGAAGTAAAAACAAGCTAAACCGTGAATCTGTGCTTGTTGGAATACCTTCTTCGTACTGTATGTTATTACAAATGAACTAATGTATGCCTTGCAGAAATACCTCATGTGTATATTTATACTGGTAGATATTAGTGTGAACGTATATACATATGCAGAGAGAGAGGCAGAGAGAGTTCAGTACCACAGTCTGGGGCAGATGCTTCTTTTAATTTGTCCTATGCGACAAAGATCTTTCCATGCCAGCTCTTGCTTGGCTCAGCGAGATGCAGATACAAGGAAGGAAGAACAGTGTCACTGCTTTTTTGGTTCTCTTTAAGCAGTGGCAAAAAACAGCACTGACTTTTTTCCACTGTTTTAAAACTACTCTTCCTCACTTTTTATGATAATTCAGTGCAAGGCATTAAGGGACTCTAAAAGTCCCTGTTAATTCAGCAACAGAGGTCTTCCACTGCTACATACTTACTGTGTAAGCAGTCAAAGGACTGTTTAGGACATTTTGGATTAAAAAGTGCTGTGCTATATTAGCACATGGAAACAATTGTAATGGCAATTGTTTTATTTTCTACAAGCCATGAAAACAGCTCTTTGAGTCCCTCCTAACGAACACCCTCACGTTAAATATACGAAATTGCCCCCCCACAGCAGCACAGTGGGACTGCACGGTAGATACTCTTCATTGGTTTTTTGGATCATCCGGAGAGCAAGGGGAAACAGCTGCTGCAACCACTGGTTATTGCATTCAGGAACGGTATTTTTAACCTCACTTGCAAAAGCCGATGGGCGTGGGGAAGGCACTCGCTGACATCGGGGACAGGCAGCGCATGATGGGGCTGACTAACAAAGCCTGAGCTCTGCATCACAGTCACCAGCCTCATCACGGCCTCATGTGATGATACGTATACTTGGTCTCCTCCGACTCACGGGCTATTCATGGGAGACATCCTTGCCATTCGGGACACCGTACGTGTCCTCAGTTTTATGTATTATTTAGCAACAGTTGGCTTGGATCATAAGAGGAAAGGAATCAGAATTGGTATCAAATGTTAATCTAACATTGCATGGTTTTGTTAGAGCAGGAATCGGTGGGGGCTGAGCATTCTGGACCGAGTCTTCGCAGGCAGAAGGACTTTTCTCCACCATGTGCAGGGTCTGAGTTATCGCTGCTTGATCTGGGTGATCAGAGACGGCTCATTTTGAAGATTTCAGTGGCGTGAATATATGACGAGTGCTGATTTTTTTCCCACGTTACAACTAACGTGACACAAACGGCTTTGAGGATGCATTACATCTCAGCAGAAATGTGTTGTGAAAAGCCAGCAAGATGTCTTCATCCTTTCCAAAGGCTTCTGTCAAACCCACTGTGCCAGGAGGGCTTGTACCCCGGGGGTTGTCAAAGCTTGGGAGTTGTCAGGGCAATAGCTTGGAAAAAGAACAACTAGGCCATGGGCTATAGCACTCGGATAGCTTTAGAAATTTATCAGGATATTTTAAAGATTTATAAGTTTTTGGCATGTAATAGTCTTATCCAAACACAGGACAGCATTGTCCTTTGCAACAAAAGCCATGTGTAACACATGCCATTAAAAAATTATAGGATTTTCAAAACACCATGCAGATGCTAACTGGTGTATGTCGGCAAGGAACGGCATGCAGCCAGTAATGTTGCAGCTGAGGCTCTAAGTAGTTAAAAGTGTGCTTTCTCAGAAGCCACAAACACCCACAACTTCACCGGATTTCTGTGGCAGGGGGCACCCACACGGGTGTCTGCCATTGCCAGGCAGCAAGCTCCATCCCTGTCCGGGGGAGCAGTACCGGGGGAGTCTTGCATGTCAAAGCTTTCCAAACATACCATACATTTTCTCCTCCAGGCAGACTATTTACTGAGTTTTCAAAGACAATAGAAGTGTTTCTGCTCCTATTGCTGAAGCAGTCATTAAGCCTCTCCTTTCACTACCATGATCTCTAGCAATTGAAGCAAAACCAAGACAAGTTGTTCAAGTTAAAGCATGAATTCAATGGATTGCGTCACCAGGGTTTTTTTTTCCTTATCCAGCAGCTAGATGGAAGACAAAGAAGTTCTGCGTTATAGAAATACCAGCTAGGACATTTGATGCAACTTGTTTTGAATTTTTCCAGCTTCTTTTTCCTCCCACCTGCCTTTCCAGGGCTGGCTAAAGACAGCAAGAGGAGAGCACACAGGAGAAGGTTGATCCAAATCAGATAGAGAGAGGTCTTCAAGCTGAGAAATCACCAGAAATATGCTGGATATTATAAGACTTTGCCTGGAATTTGTACTTTGAAAGTCCATTTAGGCGGCAGTTGCTTCTAGTAGTAGTTTTGACTGGGACATTTCTTCTCATCTCTATACCTCTGGAAGAATACATTTTTTTCTTTTGAACATAGCGATCTCGCTGCAGTAGATATGTATCCAGAAGCTGAAAATGGTGCCAAAAGCAGCCATCCATCTGGCAGACATAGCGTTTCGCCAGAACGTACAATTCTGCTGTTGCTTTGGATCCCAGAGAGCCTCTCAGCTGGAATTTAAAGTTCTGGTTCTGGCAAAGGCTGAAACACCCCCAGAGGAAGCCTGTTTGTGCCTTTCGCCATCCTGTGGCAGCTGAAATCGATGGAGACAACCAAACCGAAACCTATTTAGCACTTGCTGGGTGAGTGACAACAGGGCATTCTCCGTGAATGTGACTCATTCCGGAATTCACCTCATTTTTTGGTCTAAAATAGTCTGATTGGTTGTTCAGAATATAGTTTTTTCTATTGTTCTAGGCTTTTAAGGAGTAGAGGAAGGATCTCGGAGGGAACTGGGAAAAAGGATTTTTTTACTTCGTAATTTGTATATATGGTTGTAAGTGATACGTGTATACTCACAGCCATGGATAGGCATCTATTTGCAAAATCTAACCACATGTTCCTTTTGGTACCTGCGGCCGACGTCTGGCAGTCCGAGCGCCCCAGCCAGGACTCCCGCCGAGCCCCAGGCGTGCAGCAGTGGCCGCCCTGTGGGTGTCGGAGGGAAATGTAGCTTACCCAAACAAATGCAACTTGACATATCAAATACTAAGTTGAAAAATAATTTGAAATAACAGCTCGTTTTTAAAATAACTCAGGATCTGATTTCATGACCCGAGAAGTCAGATTCTATACAGAAAAAACAATACTCCAGTGTGCCTCTAATCACAGCTTCCTGCCCATATCAGATAGCTGCAGGCACTGCGCTCATTAGACATTTTCTGGGGTTACTTCCAGCTTTACCTACTGCTTGCACTTGCAGTCAGCGTGTTATTAAGACGGTACGCCCATTTTCCTCTGAGTCTGAACCTCTTTTCTGTGCTTTTACCCCTGCGAGTTTGAGCTCTCAAGAGCGAGAGCGTAAGATCGGAGAGAAACGGCTCACCTCAGCCAGCCCACGGGCTGCACAGAATTCCAGGTATTCCTGGTTTGCTCCTCGGGAGTTGTTTTAACCTGGATACAAACGAATAGTTATGTTTGAACTCGGAGGAGTGGCCACATTCCTCCTTGGGACAGCTGGACGAACCGTAGGAAGGAATGCTTTCCAGGGGAACAGCGTATATTTTTTAAACAAATCAAAGCCCTTCTCTGTGAAATAAACAAAAGCGTTGACCTCTGCGCAAGCAAAGGGGAAGGCTATTGGGCTCTGCTGGCGCTCGGCCCCGGCGTGCGGAGCCCGCGATGCTGAGGCCGCGGATGGAGGCGAGGAGCGAACGCACCCGTAGTCCAGCTATTTCGGGAGAAAGGTACGAGGCAGCCGAGCGCTCACAACTCTCACCTCCGTTGCATCGCTCTCATGACAGTGAATAAACCACCAACAAAAAACTCCCCCCAAAAAAATCTCTCTCTCTTTTTTTTTTTTTAATTTCTCCCAAAGAATATTCCCAGGCAGAAATCTTGCACAAGTCTAAGTCTACTGGCTCACTTTGCAAGCTACTTTATTAACCTCTGCGTGGGCCGATAAGCCCTGGCGGGAGCAGAGGGGCGCAATGGCGACGCGTTGCTCCGCCGCTCGGCCCCCCGAGGTGCCGGCGGCCTGGTCCCGCTCCCACCCCCCAGTTAGCGCCTCTGCGCACAAGGGG